GTTTAACATAAATAAGAATATACAGTACAACAGAGATGATGTTAATTTTTGGTTTTCTAATTCAATGCAAGACTGCAGGGATCTGTTTCTATTTGAGCTTGATACACTAGTGAAGCCAATCAATAGAGGAAGGAATTCCCTTTTTTTCTTTATAAAGTAAGCCTTACAGTAAAATCAAATTGAATTTTTTATTCAGAAATATCTCTTTCTATGCATCTCCCTTGCATTTTGAGTGAAAAACATCTATTGACTAGAGACTGAAACTTGTAATTTCTCTTAGGTACCAATCAGTCAATAAGCCTATGTTAAGAGCCAACTGTATGCCAGGCACTGTGCTAAGCTGGAATACAAATATTTTAAGAGGCAAAAGACAGTCCCTACCCTTAAGGAGCTAATAATATAATGGGGGAGACAAAAAGCAAACAAATATATACAAACAAGCAATAAACTGGACAAATAGGAAACAAACAACAGAGGAAAGACAGTAGAATTAAAAGGCCTTGTGGAAAGGCCTGAAGAAACTGGATTTTAGATAGGACTTGAAGCAACCAGGGAAGCCAGAAGTCAGAGACAAGGAGGGAGAGCATTCCGGGAAGACAGAGAAAATAACTGTAGCCTAGGTATAAAGTGCTTTGTTCATGGAAGAGCAAGAAGGCTAGTATCAATGGATTGAAGAGTACACGTGGGTGGGAATAAAGTGTGAGAAGACTGAGATTGGGGAAGAGGGCTAGGTTATACAAGTCTTTAAACACCAAACAAAGGATTTGTATCTGATTCCTTTGGCTGATAGGGAGCCACTGGAGTTTATTGAGTAGGGGAGTGCCATGATCATACCTACACTTTAGGAAAATAATTTTGATGACTAAATGGAGGATGGATTGGAGTGGGAGAGACTTAAGGCAAGCAAAAGCAGGCTATTGCAATAGTCCAAGTATTAGATAATGAGGGCCTATTCCAGGGTGGTGGCAGTATCAGAGGAGAGGTAGCATATTTGCTCAATGTGGCAAAGTGAAGTTGACGGGCCCTGGCAACAGGTTGGATATGAAGAGTAAGAGAATGAAGAGTTAAGGATGACACCAAAACAAGCTTAGAGGACTGGAAGGATGGTGGTACCCTTGACAGTAATAGGGAAGTTTGGAAGGGAGAAGGTTTAGGGGGAAAGAGAATGAGTTATGTTTCAGACATGTTTAATTTAAGATATCTGTCTACTAGACAATCACTTCTATATGTCTGAAAGGCAATTGGAGATATGAAATTGGAGGTTAGCAGAGAGGTTAGGGATGATTTGAGAATCATCAGTATAGAGATGATAATTAAATTCATGGGAGCTGACGAGATCACCAAGTGAAGTAGAATAGAGGGAGAACAGAAAAGGGTCCAAGACAGAGCCCTACAGGACACCCATGATTACAGGGCATGGTCTGGATGAGAATCCAGCAGAGACCAAGAAGGAGCAGTCTTATAGGTAGGAGAAACAGGAAAGAGTGATGTCCTGAAAAACCTAAGGAGAAATGAGTAACAAGGAAGAGGGAATGATTGACAATGTGAAAGGCTGCAGTGAGGTAATGAAGAATGAGGATTGAGAAAAGAACACTGGATTTTGCAACTAAGAGATCACTGGTAACTTTGGAGGGAGCAGTTTCAGTGGAATGATGAGGTTGAAAGCTGATGTAAGGGGTTAGTTAAGAGAGTCTGTAAAGAGGAAGTGGAGACATTTATTGTAGAAGGCCTTCTCAAGGAGCTTAGCCACAAATGACAGAAGACATCTAAGATGATAATTATGGGGATGAAAAGATCAAGTGAGGGCTTTTTGAGAATGAGGGTAAAATTTTTGTAGACAGTAGGGAAACAGCCAGTAGACAAGGTGAAATTGAAGACAAGTGAGAGAGTGAGGATGTCAGAGGGGCAATCTATTGTAGGAGAAGGGATGAAATGGGATTGCTTGTACAGGTAGATAGTTTGCCTAGTTGAGGAATAAAGCCATCTTCTCTTGTGATACAAGGGTTAAAGAGGAGATAATGACAGAAGATATCTGTGTGATATTGGATGAGGAAAAAAGGAGGAACTCTTTGAGAATGGCCTCAATTTTTTTTCCTGTAAAATAAGAGTCTAAATTTTCAGCTGAGAGGATGGGGGTGAGGGGGAGCCATGGGAGGCTTAAGGAGGGATGAAAAGATTTGGAATAGGTTCTGTGAAGAGTTAGATAGTGAGTTGATAAGGCAGATGTAGAACATTGTGTAGGAGCAGTGAGGGTTCAGTTTAGGTTATATAACAGTTGCAGTGGATCTAGTAAGAATGGTTGCATGGTGTGTGTGTGTGTGTGTGTGTGTGTGTGTGTGTGTGTGTATAAAGGCAGATGTGGTTCTAGGTAGAAGTGGTTCTAGGCTAGGGCATGGCAGGGCTCAATCATGATAAGGGGGATAGGGACTCAAGAGAAAAGGATAGTGTAGAGTTGAACTGGTTCACCAATGGGTCAAGATGAATAAGAGAGAGTGGCTAGTATAGAAGTGATGGCCTGAGAAAGAAATGAAAGGTCAAGAGATTTTGAGGTCATGATCTAGACTGAGTAGAGTTTGGTAAGGGAAGGCAGTGGGAGAAGTGGTAAACCAAAATATTACAGTTAGATAAGGAGATTTTTGAATTCTTGAAAATGGAAGTGGAACATTTATGGCTGATGGTAAGATCAAGGGTATGACTTTATCTTTATATGTGGCTGAGGTGAGGTGGAGGAATAGGTCACTGGAAGTGAGAAGATTGAGGAATTGAGTGGTTAGGGTGAGGGAGTCATTATGCATGTTGAAGTCCCTTAGGATGAGGGCAGGAGTTGGGCAAGAAAAAAATTAGGAGCCAGGTAATGAACTTACTGAGGAATGAAGGGAAGAGTGACCTGGAGGACTGTAGACAACAGCTATCAGGATTTTAATTGGGTGGTAGACAGGGATTGCATGAACCTCAAGGTAGGGGAGTTTACTGGGTGAAGGAAATAGGAGAAACTGGAAGTAGAAATTGGCTGCAAAAAGTATTCCAATTCCTCCATCTTGAATGAGGGGAATGAGTGATAATTAAGCAAGTACTGGAAAGGGTTACCGGGGGGCCACGTCATTAGTAATGGGGAATCAGATTTCTTTGATTGCAAGAAGATGGAAGGAGAGAGAAAGGAAAAAATTTAGGATGAAGGGATTTTTTCCCCCTATGGAGTAGGCATTCTAGAGGATGGAATAACACTGGTGGAAAGGTGGGTAGCACTGGGTAGAGATTTTGGGGTGGAAGGGTGAGGAATGGGGTTTGGGTGATGGCCTACAGGGGTTCAGAATCAGAGACCATAACATTACAAAACTGGGAAACTTTCAGAATGGCTCCAGACCTAGACAGAAATAGGAAAGCTTCGAAAAGGAGAAGGTTTAGGAGAAATATAATGAGTTCAGTTTTAGACATAATGAGTTTCAGATGTCTCCAGAGCATCCAGTTTGAAATGTCCAATAGGCATTGAGGCAGAACTGAAACTCAGAGGAGATACTGGGACTTAATGTAAAGATATGAGTTATATAGATAAGTCATATGCATAAAGATGATAATTAAATCATTGGAAGCTGATGGGGTTACCAAGAGAAGGAACAGAGAGGAAAAAGAGAATAAGAACCATTTTGTGTTTGACTGATTGTTTTGGAGAGGACAGTAATAGCACAATAGTTGTAAAATAAAACATGATTACAAACCTAAGGTGTGATTTACTGGTCTAATGCTTTCCGGGTTGGTCTTATAGCCAGAGTAAAATCAAACAAAACACCCCCTCTGCTTGATGTGAAAGTGTTAAATCTCAAAATTGTGGAGAGGAGGCAATGTATGGTTAGCTGAGAAGAAAAGATTGTTTTAGTGAACACCTTAGAATGGAATAGCTGGAATGGTCCATCATAGTGGGAATACTTAATAGCTTAGAAGACCTACTTCAGCAAAAGATATTTCATAGATTAAAATCTCTAAAAATGAAGCTTAAATTGAGTGGAACAAAGCAAATCTGTTCTCTGCCATCCAAGATTCATCTTTTTGCCTGTGGTTGTCTTAGTCCTAGCCAGAGTTTCATAAATGAAATTACCTTTGTATTCTGATTTGGTAGAGGTTTATATTCGAACTAAAACAACAGAGACCAGTATCTTTTTAAATTTTGGATTTAAAGAGAACATCTGCAAATCACCTTTCGACTAGCCCCTGGATTTTAGGAAAACCAGCTTGCACAATTCCTTCACCTCCTAAAGCCCTGGAGCATGAATGACATTCCTCCAGTTCTCCGCAGCGGTATCACTCCTCCCCCATCTTCCAGTTTCCCTCTAATTCCTTCGGCCACTCCCTCCTCCCACCAGGTAGCAAGGGCATGGAAAGAAAAAAAAAATCCTGCTGCTTTCTCTTTGCGGCTGCGCAGCTCGATCCCGGCCAGACTGGCGAGGCTGTTGGTTTCCTACGCTCTCCCTGTCGCATTTCGGTGGGCTGAATGCGCCTGCGCTCTAGAAGGCTGGCGACTGGGGAGGGAGGGGGGAGGGGAGCTGTGTGTGGGAAGTAGAAGGTGGGGGAGGGGAAGGCTGGGTGTCTGGCTTTGGTTTTTGGGAAGGGGAGGAGGGGCCGTGGGTATGGGTGAGCGTGTTTTGAACAGCTCGATGCGGGCGGCTCACTATTTGGCAGGAAGGTGAGGCCTCTATCCTGGCAGGGACGCCAGAGCAGAGAGTAAGACACGGAAGGAGGGGAGGAGGAGGAGGAGGAGGAGGAGAAGGAGGAGGGGGGTGGGTGGGGTGGGGATCCAAATGTGGCAGAGAAGCCGCCGTGGAGACGGAGGCGGAGGGGGGGCGAGAAGCGAGCTGGAGCCGCCGCCACCGTCGCCGCCGCCGCGGACAGGCAGCAGCAGCAGCAGCAGCAGGAGCAGCGCGGCTAAGAGGCCGAGTTGGGAAGTTTGAGCCCCGGGAGCAGGGGTGGGTGAGGGCAGCGGCGGCGGCGTCCGGGGGCGGAGGCGGGAAGCCCCCCCAAACCGCCCCTGGGCAGCCTCGGGGGGGCAGTTTGTAAAGCTGCAGCCGCTCCTAGCCCGGCTCTTCCCGCACCGAGGACGGAGACCCGACTCGGGGGACTCGCTCCTCCAGCCCGCACCGGCCCAGGTAAGAAAGGAGGCGGCCCCGGGGGAGGGCGGGAGCGAGCCGGGGTGGAGACCGCGGCGGCCCCGGGGGCTGCTCCTCCGTAGCCTGGGGAACAGTTCCGGAGGGAGCCGCGGCGTCGTTGTTCCGCCCCCTGCGCCCGCAGGGAGGCGCTGTCCTGCCTCCTCCACCCCCACCGCCACCCCACCCCCACGCCTCGGGGACCTCTCTGCCCCGCCGCCTCCGCTGTCCTGCGCTGCGCTCAGAAGCACCCCCACGCCCCCCCTCGTCCGGGTCTCGGTTCTTTGTCCCACACACTCCGCCCCAATCCTTCTCCGCTTTCCTTCCCCTTACCTGCATCCCACCAGCTCCCCCTTGTGGTGATGCTCTAGCTCCCCTGCTCTTAGGCCCCCGTGAGCCCTGCGGGGGATTGGTTCGAGCTGGGGGAGGGGGGCTGGTTGGAAGAATTTGTGTTTGTCGTCTTTTCTTTCCCCTGAAAGTCGGAGTGGGGGAAGGGGAGTGGGATTTTTTTAAGTGGGGGGCAGGCGGATCTGGCAGAATGGGGCTGCATTGCAGCAGGGGCGGGGTGTTGTGCGTTGTCGGAGCTGTGGCGTCGGTGCTGTGAGAGGTTGAGACTGGAGAGGGAGCTGGTGTTGACGCCGCTCCCGGCTCTGGAGTTCACACACACTGATTGCGGGGCTTGAAGTTGCTGGAGCAAAGGGGGAGGGGAGTGTGTGTGTGTGTGTGTGTGTGTGTGTGGAAAGGCAGGCAGGCATTGCTGGGTTCCTTTGTCTGCTGCTGCTTCTCCTCCGCCGTCCCCTTCTTTCCTTCTCCCTCTTGTCTGCACCCCCTCCCCTTTTCCTACCCCTCCCTCAGCCCATCTCTTCTCTCCCCGCCCCCCGCTGGCCCCCTTCTCCCCCTTTCCTGTACCAAGACTCGAAAGCGCTATTGCAGCCGTAGCTTTGTAAATACCGGACCGACACACACACAGACACACATACACACACACACAACATGGCTGACGCGGTTCCCTCGACTCCACCAGCCTCGACGCCTCCCTCTGTCTCAGCTTCTTAGGCTCCATTCCCTCCTGCTTTTGTTTCCTTTTCCTACTTCCTTTCGTCTAGCATCTCCTCCCCCTCTCCCCCTTCTCCTCTCCTCCCCCCTTTCCAGGAGGAAGGAGATTCGCCCTCTTTATTGCGTGCATGGCGGGATTTCAAGGGTAAGGTCCTTGCTTTGGAGCATTCGCCTTTCGCTTGTTTGCAAACAAAATAAATCGGAAACGAAAGAGGCTTTGGATTATGTGCAAGGCTACGGAAGCAGTGGGGTATGAGGTTAGCTCTATAATTAAGGGTAGATTGCTGTCTGCGTATTTTTTTGGGGGGGAGGGAGGAGAGGGTGGAGAATGATGCACCAAAATTGTTGGCAAAGATAAAATATTCTAGTATTGCAAAATACCATGGGGCCATTTTTCTTTTCATGATGCGACTCATTCATTGCAAGGGATCAGTTGCAAAAATAACGATCAATTCCATCATAAGTGTTTGGAGGATAAAATTATGACGACTCTTCCAGTATACCTGTTTTTCCCTCCCTGATACTATGTCTTCACTGTTTAGGGGACTGTCAGGACCGTATTATTCAGGGACTGATTTTAAAGCTTGCCAAATCTTTTTTGCAGTGTCGATTTTTTTTTTATGGATGGACCTGCTCTGGTGACTATTATTACATCAAATCTGAGATGTATTGTGTTAGTTAATCAGATTTCGAAGCCTCCACCCCAGTGAGATTGTTAAATGTAACTACCAAAGGCATGTTTTCTGTTGCTTCCAATAAAATAGACTAGCTTGTATCTCTTGCTCTGGGAACGTTGGGCATTCATAGCACCCTCTCCTGGTTTCACTGAGATCTAAGCAGTCCTTTGCTCACTTCATTACTACGTTAATGGTGGTTAAAGTAAATTTCATTTTTATATACACTTATCTGATTTAAAATGACCTTGAGCATATTTTGCTAAAAGAGTGAGAGAGAGAGTGTGTGTGTGTGTATGTGTGTGTGTGTGTGTGTGTGTGTGTGTGTGTGTGTTTTAAGGGGAGGAAGAGGCTGGACCTGTGATTTTATTGACACAGGAAACTCCCCATGAGGAAACAGATTGGCACCTGCTTTGCAACTTGGTCTTAGTTCTTAACCTGAGGTCTGTGAACTTAAAATTTTTTTAAAAAAATCTTCATGCTGATATAATTGGTTTCCTTTGTGATCCTATATATTGTATTTTATGCATTTAAAACATTGAGGGAGGGGGTTGTCCATGACACACAAAGAAGGTTAAGAACCCCTGTTTTGGAGAATTGCTTGGGATGACACTGGAGGCCAGACTTGAACCCAAGTTTTCCTAACTTTGAGACTGACTCTGTATTCACTTATGTCTTAGCTACTCATATCTGTTTCTCTATTTGTCTATTTAATATTATAAATAATAAAATAACTTAAAGTGAATTGTAACGCTGGCAATAAATGTCATCATGAATGTTTTAAGAGTTTGGGTCATAAGGCTGAAAAGTAACATTAGAAACTGTCACTCCAGGTTGCCTCACTTTACCATGTGATACAAATGTAGTCTAAAGTTTCATTGTGTGGTAGTATGTGAGCTATAAAAAGAGTAAATGAAATACTATGTAACTTTTGTTAGAAGTTTATAGAAGGAACTATGCTGTTAATATAGGGAGAGATGCTGTAATTGGTTTTTACAAAGCCTTGGTTGTTGAGTAAACTCTGATCTTGGCTTTGGGGTTAACATTTAGATACAGTGTTTATAAGTACTCATTTAAAGGTTGTAGAAGTTTCACAAAGAGGTCATAAAATATTTAGCTTTGTGTGGATATTTAATAATGGACAAAAATAGTAATTCATAGTAGAATTTTCATTACCCAATATAGTGATCATTTTATACTAGTAAAAGGATATGTGTCAAGTTAGGTCATTTCCTCATTAATCCTTATTTAAGTCTTAAAGTTAAATTTTTGATTTTTGTTTCTTTGCTATTATAACAATTGCCCTTTTGAGCAGAGTGATAGCTGAAAGGAAGTGTCATGTAAACAAACCTACAGTACTGTGGAACTATGGACAGAGCATATTAGTAGAATCACTTTTACTCATAATTAAATGTCTGGAAGAGAAGTAGCTAGACAAAATTAAGGTAGAAGTAACTAAATTTACCACATTTAAAGCTGGTTTTTTAGATCTTATAGTTCTGGAATGTAGTGAGTGTTTCACGTAATGTTTTTAATCTCAATTCATAAGAAAATATTAGTGCTTTGTGTCCTTGCTTATTAACTAATTTTTTTTTTTTTTTTGTCTAGGATGTTCTTGTACTTTGAAAAATTGAGAGAGGCTTCACTGATGGTGTGGTTTGGAAATTTATGGAGATTGCTCCTGATTTGGCTCTTTGTTTGATGAAAAGAGCTGTTAAAGTTTGGATCTGGTTGATCTGATATCTTAAGAAATAATACCAACTATCATTTTTATGTTGGCAATAGGGTGTGTTCCACAAATTCCTTTGTAAGTTGGTTGTAAAAAGGAATGAATTCTCAGAAACCATATATATGGTGGTTAGGTTCCTTAGGCATCTCATGAAGCTGAACTTGAGTATGAGATTGGTCAAACTTAGCATCATAGAGCAGCAGAGAGAAAATAGGAGTGAAAGGCTGTTACCCTTGACTTGGACTTAGAAGATTTGGAGTCAAGTCCCAGCTCTAGCATTTATTAAACATGTTGCTGGGGGTGCTGGTCACTTAACCTTTCTGACCCTCACTTTCCCATCTAAAAGATAGAGATAATCATTTGAGTACTACATACCAGTCTTTGTTTTTCTCATTTATAATCCCCCCCCCCCATGTTGTGATCTGGTGGTATCTTGATGCTGAAATATCTGTCAAAAGTTTAGATAAAGTAATTTTTCCCACAGGCTGTCATTAAATTTCCACTGATGTGACCAAATGGAATGGCATTTAAAGCACTTAGACTGAGCCACAGCTATCTTTAACTTTGTAAAGCATGTATTTTAAATTCACTTTTGCCAGTTTTTCTACAGTTATCCACATATAGTAGAAGAGGAGACAAACCTCTAGCTAAACCTCTTACTTCTCTTGTCAATCTGGGAGATTCCTGGATCCAGTTGCCTAATTTTGTTTACAGTCTCCACAGCATCTCCATCTCCGTGCATATATAGCTCTCATGCAGGGAATATTGGAAGAGCCTCCTCTTTAGCCTCCTAGCTAGTCCTACCTAATCTCTGTGTTCCAATCTATCTTCCATCTAGCTACCAAAGGGATTTTCTTAAAAGCGTAGGTCTGACCATGTTATCCAACCCCATTCAGTAAACAGTAATGTCTCCTCTTTCTTATCTGTAAGATAAAAAACTCTTCTCTTTGGCTCTTCACAGCTAGGCTCCTTATCTTTGCATTCTTCTTGCGAGGATTCTAGAACTAGGGAAATAGAAATCAAAATAATCCTGAGTGAGCCTGTCATAACCATGGTTTCATAGCGTCCGCTGCTTTCCTTGTGTAGAGCCTTTTTCATTGCCTAGCTTCTATTTTTGAAATTATCTCTTGCTTCTTTTCTTATTCCCTCCTTGGAATCCCTGATTTCCTTCAAAACTAAGTTTCACTGCCACCTTCTACATAAATCCTTTCCTGATCCTCCAGCTAATAGTGCCTTCCTTCCCAAAACTGCCCTGAGCATGCATATATATTTACATTTTTTGAACATGTTATCACCTCCATTAGAATGTAAGCTCCTTGAGAGCAGAGCCTGTTTCACCTTTGTCTTTGTATCTCTAGTGCTTAAACAGTATAGGAGGTGTTTAATAGATGCTTGTCAGTTGTTTGAATGAAATATTCATCCTTGTGGTCATTTTTCTAATGGTACCTTTTGGTTTGCCTCTTTAACCTCCCTCAGAAAAATTTATCATGCTGAGATTGTGACAATTAATGTAAGAGAGGTAGCATATCTAATGGAAAAGAACA